ATATTGAATGTTGAAGCAGGGAGATTAATGTCTCTGTATTGACTGACATGCATGGCATTCCCTTTTGAAAAAGCAATGTAATACACTGTAAAGTTATATGTAATCCAATGTAATATAAAGAAGATTATGATGATAATAAAAAATAAAAAAAGAAACAGAAACTAAAATGTCCAATTTGAAATGTTCATAATTTTATTGCTCATCTAATGGAATGAAATAATTTATTTATTAATTGAATGAAATATGCTGTGCTAGCATTTCCCAGTAGGTAAGGATGAATAAGATATAGGCTCTAACAATATCATTAGGGAGCTCACCATCTAGATGGACAGAGGAGACAAGCACTGTACCTGTGAGAGGTAGAATTTGAATGTACCGTAAGTGAAATACCAATACATATAGGACTCTAGGGATTCATAGAAGGGAAACATAGTATCATTTGCCAAAAATGTCTTAAATCTTTAAGATAACATTAAATGTTACTTAGACTGTTACATGAATTTTGAGAATTGGAAGACTAATCTGATTTGGCATAATCAAGGAAAAATTAAATGGGGAGGTGTAGAACTACTAAAAAATGAGAAAATGTATTAGATAAACGAAAATGAGGAGCCTAGTGCCATTCAAGAAAGTAAAGAAACCTTGTCCAGGTGAGCCCATGGCCTGTGGCAAAGCAAGCTGGATCCCATATAGCCAACCACGTGGTTTGAGTCCTAGACCTAGTGGCTTGAAAAACATGCCAGGTGCTTCTGCATGCATACCCAAAATCCTAAAAGAAGGGGAAAATGAAGGAGAAAGGATTGCAGTATAACCATTCCTCATGAGGGTACTTTCTTACTACCCATTTCTCTTTCTTTCTTTCTCTGGCAAGCATACCCACCCTCTGGAAAAATTTTTTTTAAAAATTTTGTATAAAGAGAATTGTCCAACTTTATTTGCTATACTCCCACATTTTTATTAGAGCTTTTCTCCTTTTGTAGTGATTTGTGGTACAGGTAAATCATTACAATGATACTTATTCCATTTTTGTTTGTTTTTAGTTTTGCTGTAGTGCGTGTGCACTCGCAAGAGAGACACTGAGAAAAGGGGAAAGTGAGAAATCACTGCCCAGGGGAATGGCCATGCCACAATCCCTTCTCCTCCATTCTCCTCCTGGAATTTTGGACATACACACACACACACACACACACACACACACACACACACACACAGTGTGTTTTTCAAACCACCAGGTCCAGGACTTGAACAGCACAGTCAGCCATGTGGGATCCAGCACCTTAACTGCCATGTCATCTGCTAGCTTGGTGCCTCATTTCTCAATATCAAACATGTGTCTTTTTTTTTTTTGGAGAGGTTTTTGCTATAGGGTGCATGCTCTCGCCAGAAAGACAGAGAGAGACAGAGAGACAGAAAGCGAGAAATCACCCCCCCCACCAGGAGGAATGGCCACGCCACAGCCCCTTCTCCTCCATTCTCCTCTCGGGATCTTGGGCACACACACATAACGCGCCCAGTGTGAGTTTAAGCCACTGGGTCTGGGACTCGAATCACAGTACACTACATGGGAGTCCAGTAACATAGCCATTACGCCAACTGCTGATCCCTCACACATGTGTCTTTGAAAAAAGTGATATGTTTACATATTTTTGAAGAAAACGTAACATTTTTTTGAAATAACCCTTACTTTGCATTGTTTGCACTGCCTAATATGTTATTTGGAAATAGTATAAACCAGTCACATCATTAAGACTTCTGAGAGTTCAAGATTCAACAATGAGCAAAAGGCAAATGGCAGTGAATAGTTCTATTATAAAAATTATTTTATTAATTATTATACAAGAGAGAGAGAGAGAGACAGGTACCTCTAACAGAGTCTCACCACACATCCTAGTTAGCCAGGACTGCAAGTCTGCCCAACATTTTCAGATCTACAGGGATCCAAATCTGGGCCTGCCATGTGGCTCCAGTATTGCTCAGTTGTGTAATACTACCTGATCTACCACAACAAGGTAGTATTTTGACCCCATGAGAATATTTTGACCCTTTATAACCTGAAATTGGTAATTAAGTCTATTTAAAAGAGAGATATTATCACAATACCAGTGCATATTTGCTTATCCCACAAAATACTTGGAGTCATAATTGAATTTTATATTGATATGATTGTTCCTTTGTTTTGATACTGTCAAAATGTCATACATTGGGACCAGCAGTTAGCGTAATGCTGTGTCACTGGACTCCCATGTAGTCGACCGCGGTTCGCGTCCCGGACTCAGTGGCTTAAAATTAACGCTGAGCACGTGTGCATGCGTGCCCAAGATCCTGAGAGGAGAATGGAGGAGAAGGGATTGCAGCATGACCATCCCCCTCTGGGGGGTGATTTCTCACTTTCTGTCTCTCTGTCTCTCTCTGTCTGGCGAGTGCATGCGCCCTATAGCAAAAACCTCTCCAAAAAAAAAAAGTCATACATTTTTATGTATTATGATTCACAACTACAGGGAATTTTGTTGATTTTTTTTCAATGTTTTGGGTACTTCTGGGAGAAAATCTGGATGAGTTAGCACAAAGTAAGAGGATAAAATGTAATCTCAAGCCAAAAA